TCAGTGTAGCGCTATCCAACATCTCCCCCATACATATGAGTAAAAGTCTCTGGGGAGCCTTGGCGCATTGGCAACTTCTCGTGTGTGAATGAAGATTTCCTTCGCATTCTGTAAGTGGCTCTTGAGCATCTTCGCTGTCAACGACTTCCGCGTCCCGGACATTTGCAAGAAAAGGAACAAGATAAGTTCGGTTACGTCGCACAACCCCGCTGTCAGTGTCCATGGAATAAGACCTGGGTTCATCTGCTGGTCTCTGCACTGTACCTTTCTGCTTGATGTCAGTGATCCAAACTTCATCTCCATTAAGGACTTCAGGCATTGCGCGTACGCCATGCCGTCGATTAAAGTCTTTCTTCTGGTGTTCCCGGTATAGTTCTTCAAAGTCGCGAAGTTTTCTCATGGCGGGCATGTGGGGCCTGAGCATCTCGGGGAGAATAGGGAGCCTGGTTCGTAAACGTCGACCCATAAGTAGTCCAGCGGGGCTTTAGCCGTTCTTCAGCGGAGTCGGCCTGTAAGAGAGAGGGGTCATGTACGGGTCTTTCGTTTTTTCCGTCGATTTCTTGGTACACTTCACGGCTGCATCCGCAAGTCCATTACTTTGGAAATAATATGGGTTTGAGGTGGTATGTTTGAACCCGTATTCTCGAGGAATTGCAGCGAAGTTTGATGACAAGAACTGAGGTCCATTGTCGGACACTACCACCTCGGGAATGCCGTGGCGAGCGAAGATTGATTTGCAGCGGTTAATGACTGTAAGCGATGCAAGTTTCTCAAGTCGTGCTATCTCGGGGTACCTTGAGAAATAATCTGTCATGATCAACCACCAGTGGCTGTTCACGCAGAAAAGATCCATTGCAACGCGCTGTCATGTTCGGTCAGGAAATTTCGTGTTTAGAAGCGGCATCTTGCGATTGCACGTGGTTTTGATGCATTCGTTGCATTGCTTTACTGTGGCAGTTATCTCTGATGGTATTCTTGGCCACCAGACACAGTCTTTTGCTCTTCCTTGTGTTTTCGTGATGCCGAAGTGGCCTTCGTGAAGAAGTTGCATAATCTCTTGTCTGCACGAGACAGGAACGACGGCACGGGCTGCATAGAGGAGCAAGTCGCCTTTTACGGTGAGCTGGTGCCGGTGCTCAAATAAAGGTTTCAGGCCTTGGGACAAGTCTCTTCTTGATGGCCATCCTTTGAGCTTAGTTTTCGTAGCTGGTTACAGACAGTGTGCGATTTTCGGTTTTTTTTTAGAAATTGTAGGCAATGGTTCTTGACTGGGATAGCTTTGTTCAAGGAACAGACAAAAGCTTCAACGTCTTTTTCAAGGTCTGTGTCCCCTGTCTGCTGTAGAGGTGCTCGGGAAAGTGTGTCAGCGGCTAGTAGGTCTTTTTTCCCTGATACACATTCTACGCTGTACTGGTACCGCATCATCCTCATCTTTAGCCTCTGGAGTCTGAGTTTCAAGTTGTCAAGAGGTTTTGACATGAGGATGGGAAGGAGCGGCTTGTGGTCCGTCTCCAGCTTGAACATTTTTCCAACCAGGTAGTCCTCGAACTTTCCGCATGCCCTCTTTCTCAATCTGCGCGTAGCGCTTTTCGGTGTCTGAGAGCAATCTTGAGGCGTACGCAATGACAGCAAACTTGACATCTGTTGGTCACTGCCGGATCAGTGCTCCAAGTCCGAAGGAGGAAGCGTCTACGCTGACGACTGCATCCTTTCCGGGGTCGTATACGCCCTGTACGGGACGAGAAGATAGCAGTGTCTTCCATTTGTTAAATGCTTGTTGCTGCGGAGAGTCCCAAAGAAATTCCTGCTTCTTCGACAACAAGGATGAAAGTGGCTGAAGAACCTCTGAGAGGTTTGGCACAAAGCGGGCAAGGTATGTGGCCATACCCAGTTTTCTTTGCAGGTCACTTTTGTTTTAGTGGCGTTTAATTTTCAGAATAGCTTCTACCTTCTTTTCATCAGATCTGATGCCGTTGTTGTCTAGTTGATGGCGTAAGAACGTGAGCTTTTGGACATTATAAAGGCACTTGTTTTCGTTTAGCGTCAATCCAGCTTTGGTTAATCGCTGCAGTACGGTGCGTAGCCTCTTGTTGTGTTCTTCGGTTGAGCCCCAGCTGAGGATGTCATTCATGTGACAGACCACTCTGTTGATGCCATGCAAAAGACTAGACATCTGCTTTTGAAAGTGCTCTGGAGCAGACGATATGCCGAAAGGTAGTCTCTTGAAGGAAAACCTCCCGAACGGTGTAATGAAGGTGGTGAGTTTCCTGCTGCCTTCGTCCAGTGGAATTTGCCAAAATCACGAATTAGCATCAAATTTTGGAAATATATTCGCGCCGTGAAGCAGCCCAAGTGTGTGCTCGACGGAAGGAATGGGATGTCATTCTCTTAGGACGTGATGGTTTAAACCAGTAAAATCGACGCAGATTCTCACAGATCCGTTTGGCTTGAGGACGACTACCATATGCGCACACCATTCGGTTGGTTCGTCGACGGGAGAAATGACACCGATTGTCTGCATTCGCTGTAGCTCCAACCTTGTTTTCTCGCACAAGGGTATCGGGATGCGGCGTGAAGAGTTGATACAAAATTGTTCCGCTCCATCGCGCAAGCGAATGCGGTGTTCTTTTTGCAGCTTGCCGAGACCTTGGAATAGTGAAGGAAATTCTACTCTCGGGATTACCTTCTGGGTGACGGCTTTGACGAATGTAAGTATCTGCAGATCATTGATAGCGGGCTTTCCGAGCAAGGACGTGTGGACGTCGTGAAGCACGTAGACGTCTTGAATTGTTGTCCTGTCGTGGTCGCTCGTCGTTCGAGTGAGCAGATTTCGCAGAAGTCTTGACGAAACGTCTTTGGTTTACTCCTTGTTGACGCGCCGCGGCGGCTTTGTTGACTGTCGACTTGTCGGGATTGAGCTCACCTTGCTGCTGACGTACGCTTTCGACCTGTCGGACCGTCTCAAGTGCTTTCTGAAGCCTGAGGGCGGCGTCGAGTTGAAGTTTTGCTGAGAGCTTCTGATCTTTGATTTCTACTACTGGTCTCTGACGAACTGTTCTTGAAGCTCGCCGTAGTCGCAGTGCTTCGAAAGTGCGTGGAGCGCCGTGATAAAATCTTCCGCAGACTCGCCTTCTTGTTGAACTCTCGTGTTGAAACGAGCTTGTTCGAAGATGACGTTTCGCCGCGGGATAAAATACTTGTCGAACTGCTTCATGACGGCTGTAAACTTCTTGTTCTCCTCGGCAGACAGCTAGAACGTGCCATATATGTCTTCCGCTTGGTCTCCCATGATGTAGAGCAACGCATCCATTTGGTGTGGCTCGGGCTTGGCGATAAGTCCGGAGCACGTGCGGAAACGTTCTAAACATTTTTTCCACTTCGGCCACTTGGTCGGCGATGAGAAACAAGATGCTTTCGGCTGTTGTGTGACAAAGGACGCCATAATTTATCGCGTAGCTGCAGCCGAAGATCCCCTAGAGCAAAGTCGCCTACCATCGTGTGGGTACCTGGTTGGCGCGGCGCTGCCCGCTGAAGAGCTCTTGAAATCGGCTTATCGTTGGCGGCAAGTCACCTCTGACACCATGTTGCAAGTCGTGTTGCAAGTTGCGCCAGGGAACGGTACCATGACAGCACGGTAGGACAAGAGGTTGAATATGGCGATCGGTTCAGAGCCGGGTACGTCCTAGCCACGGGCGCACGGCACGAGTTCATGCGCACGGGCGACGGAGCTGTATCGGCTCGGTTGCTCGGTGTAGCGGTATCCAACAGAGCTCCCTTTATGTTATAAACGGTAGCTTTTCAGTCTCTCCGCCAGAAGAATGGTGGGGAAAAGTTCGTGAACCCCTATTCGTCGTCTAAGTGTCGAAGAAACTTTGCTTTGCCCATAATACTGTCTCTTCCACAATGCTTGAAATTCACGGGAACGCACCCGTCAACCAACGTTCATAGCATCGTTGACTCAAGAGCTGCTTCACAAAGGGACCATGGCGTTGTCGATTTTAGCAATGTGACACAATTACAACAGACGCCTTTCCGTAGGTCGTGACGTCGCTGGTGATGTGGTTGTTTTAATGCTTGGTATTCTGTTCTCCCCAAGCGTTGTCAAACCGAGGGGTACTTGCTAAAACGCCTAAATAAGGGCAGATTCCACACCATTAAGCACGAGGGGCAAATGTCTGTCCAGCGATTCGAAGATAAGTCGAGCCGCACCCAGACCGAAAACGAGCACACTGTCGGTGACGTCGTCGCAATTAGAAACCAGGTTAGAAATTTGAAGGCGTTCAGATGCGTGAAACACAAAAGGGTTTTGAGAAATATACCTCTCGATGCATGAGACTTGCCTGTCATTGCCAAAGCAAAACGACGATAATATCCTGCAGATGAATCGCTCAAAGTCTCGCCTACTGATGCGTCGTCTTAATTAGACGACTAAAAACTTATGGTAGGGCACTAGATTTCTACGGAACGTATATATCTGTTTATGTTGAGGAGTCATTGCGAACTTGAAATGATAATGCGTGTAGGTTACGCGCAGTGGTAAATCTAAAACTTCTTGGCTCAAGGGTGAAGCCTTCAAAACTTAATTAATAATTTAGAAACGATATGGTAAACAGCGCCTTGTTGGTGGAAACTTTTCTCCGTATGAAGCTGAGAGGTAAAAATGTATGATTAATTTTAACCAAAACTACGGAAAAAGATTGACTCAGGGAAAAATGCTTTAGAATAAAAAAACACATTACTGATTTGCAGTTTAGGATACCATCGAGAACGTAACTAGTTTAGACCAAAAAGAAAACCGTTACCAGTAACGGCATTCCTCGTAACGCTTTACTTTCAAGGCTAAGCCAAAATTTGACAGCCCCACCGAATTTTTCACGAATCGAAATCCAAACAGATCGCTTGATTGATATCGTTTTGAAGGGAAATTTATATTAATATATCAATGTTAGAATGATAAGGGTTTTGCAGCTTAATTTGAAATAATGTAGCCATAGACCTACCTCAAATCCATACTGCGGTAGTTCACCAAACAGCTGCTGGTACCCGGCCCAAGAGTCCTATTTAAAAAAAAAAGAGCGCGTGTCACGGCTTTTGAGTGTTTTTATTTTGAGTATAGCATTGATATAAACTACAGATTGTCATGTGTCATTTTGAATTCATATTGTCACACATTTTTACAGATGCTAAATAAACTCCACATTTAAAATCCTTTTTCTAGATTAGTTGCTACATGCTTAGACATCGTGAGATAAGTCTGCCAGAGTTTTTGGCAATATTGTTATCGTATATAGGAGTGAAGTGTGGTTAGTGCAGTACGACTAATAGCTTTTGAACTTTAACATGGATCAAAAAACCAGGTGTGGTAGCTAAAGAAAAATGAAAGCCGTTCACAACTCCCTGTAACGCCGAATTAGAGCGCAGCTCATGAGGCGGAGGAAAAAAAGGTACTGAAGGGAGGGTATACCCCTCCTTCCTGCTCCTCACCTCCTCATCCTGCCTGCTACTCCTCCCTCCGAGCGGCGCCGCCGTCGTTGTCGCCGTCGGCATAACCGTGAGATCTTCTGACCCTTGTGACCTCACGGGGTAATGTGACCCCGGTGACGTCATGGGGTCACGCAACCTCACAGGGTCACGTGACCTCACGGTTACGCCGACGGCGACGACGACGCCGCTCAAGCCGTAAACGGGCGCCTAAGAGCTGCGCTCTAAAATATCAAATTATAGGGGGCGCTTCGTCCAGCGTGTTTTCCACAGAGCTCAATGTTTACCCAACACAAGGCCTGTAGACTCACATATTTACATAATCTTCCTGAATGATCACGGGCACTGAATTCCATCGCGTAACGCGACCACGTTTGGTTGAGACTTGTGTGCAATCAGTGCTTCATTGAATGAACACAAGCCTTCATTTAGCGCAAAACAGCATGCTTACAGCGTACTACTGGCGAACTTGAAGGTGCACTAAATTGCTTTTTGCAGAAGCTTTTTTTAGACGGCATATTGATTGTTGGGCTTGAGTGAATAAAACTGTCCAGTTGTAGATATTAATAAGTACTAGTAAACTGAAGGAAATAGAAATACATGGGTACTATTTTTCATCACTCCTGGAAAGAGGGAGGGGGTGGGGGACATTCTCGGGTCAAAACCACATCCATAAACTTTCATCAATGATAGCATTTAGGTGCGTGTAGATTTCGAAGTTTACAATTCTTGCTAATTTTAGGCGCATTGTGCATTATATTTGGACTAATCCGTCAAACGTTTGGGTGTAGGACGTAATACAGCAATTATATTTTTCAAAACGTCAACCGACAATGTTCTGGTGTCTTCGCCAAAGCGCAAAAATAGTGGCGTGTAATGATTTTTCGCTATATTTTTAATAAGAAAATCGGCAGCCAAGCGTGTAATTTCAGATATTTTGGGAAGCTTAGAGCTCGTAGATTGAGTTAGCAAAACACAAAGATCATCCCAGAATGCAAGTGAGGGCCCTTTATTCACTGTACAGTGGCCCAAGGTTTTTTTTTTTTATTATTAATATCTATCGTCAGTTACACGTTAAGAAACGTTTTCAAGGGACAGGAAAGCTGAGGAGGACGAAGGAGACTGAACGCCGACGAGTGGAGTGGAATTCCTTTTTTTTCAGCTTTCCAATTACTCACTTTTCCCCAACCTTCCTTCCCTCGTGAACGTTTTTTCACTTGTAACTGACGACCATCGAGCGCCCGGCCGCCCAGCGCTTTGCCGCAAAGGGGTGCGGCGATACGGAAATGATTAGGCGCGAGCGCTCAAAGCTCTTTCCAGTGCGAACGCACTGCGCTACGGTATTCCGTTGACCACACATGACCCCTGCAGCTTAGTAATGGAGCACAGGGCGCTGCGACTTCATTGTTTATCCAACGCCCACTTCTCTTATTCTCTCTTAGCTTGTCTCCTTTGTTGGTAGAGCTAATTTCTGAAGAGCGCTCGCTGGCGTGATACTCGTTTTCCGCGGCATAAATAGTGGCGCTATGACGCGCTGTTTATACTACGCCTGAGTAGTATCACGCAAGCAAGCATCTTTGCTTACGGGCGGTTAGTTCTTCCAGCAGATGAGAAGCAGGGGTTGTGTGCAGTAACCGGAATAGTCTAGCAGACGACGCTCGCACCGGGAAGATCTGTGTGCGCACGCGCCTTATCTCTCCCATATTGCTGGACCCTTCAGCGGCAAGGCGCTGTCCGGCCCACCGGTCGACACTCTCTTTACAATATTAAAAACATGCGCCACCGTTTTTTTTTTAATTTTTATTTATTAATAACTGCCGACCACACGTGGTCCAAGCAGTATGGTCAGGGTACAAACTCAAGAACCCGTACAAAACACAAAACGACAATACAAGAAATAAGGCGTACATATCGGCAAAAAATATGAAAGAGGCGGTAAGATACAGCAAAACAAGTAGCTAGCCAAGAAGCACAATACCGAAGCATGTAAGCACTAAATATAAGAACACCAAAACACATCGAAATGCAAAAACACCACTACAAGAACTGTTCTAATAATAAAGCAAAATCCGAAGATGAAATAACCGAACAAGGAAGAAAATTCCATTCTTGAATTGTACGAGGAAAAAACGAAAGTTTAAACAGGTTAGTGCGTGCAAAGTATGGCGTTAAGGAATGTTCATGATGGTGCCTAGTTCGTCTTGTAGAAAGCGGCTTTAAGTAGTAATCTGGATCCAAGGGCAGTTTTCGTATAAAAAGAGAGTGCAGAAACTTCAAATAGGCTATCCTTCGAAGGTGCTCTAAAGTTCGTATTTTGTTGGTTTGCACCAAAAGTGAGGGCGAATCAGTGCTCTTAAAGTTTTCGTATATAAACCTTACAGCACGTCTTTGAATTCGTTCCAACATTTCAGAATTAGATTTCGTATGAGGGTCACAAGTAATACTATCATATTCTAGTTTAGATCTAACGAATGAATTGTAAGCCAGTAATTTCACATTTGGAACAGCGTATTTCATTTTATGCCTTAAAATACCCAACTTCTTGAAGGCTGCCGAGGATGTATTTCATTATATGGGTCGTCCAACTTAAGTTTTTATTTATGGTCACTCCGAGGTAGTTGTAGTCATCAACCTGAGCGACGGGAATGTTATAGTCTGTACTGGAAGTTGAATAGCTTTTTTTTATTTGTTATTTGCAGATAAACAGTTTTTCAAAATTTAACTTCATGTCCCGCGTACAGCACCAACTTTGAATGTCATTGAGGCTTGCGCTCAGTAATTGTTGATCGTCAGGCGGAGATATTTTTTAAACAACACGCAATCATCTGCAAATAAACGTATGTTCACTGACGAGTGTATGGCGGAAACTATGTCGTTTACATAAATTAAAAACAGCAAAGGACCAAGAACGCTCCCCTGTGGTACTCCAGATGTTACGTTTAATATCTCTGAGCAGCTACTGATGATTTCGACAAACTGTTTACGACGCTGTAAGTAAGAACATACCCATCTAACATTAAAGGGATGAAGACCTACACGTTCAAGTTTGCTAACTACCTTTCCGTGGGGAACCAAATCGAAGGCCTTGCTAAAGTTAAGAAAAATGACATCAACTGTGCCTGATCTGTCTAGAGTGGATGCAAATTCATGAACAGTGGAAACAAGCTGGGTAACCGTAGAGAATCCCTTTCTAAATCCGTGCTAATGAGGCGAGGGGATGTTATTCGCGTTCAGGAACTCTTTAATTTGGTTAGCGATGATATGTTCTAGTAGTTTACAGGATGTGCTTGTCAAAGAAATAGGCCGGTAGTTGCCTAACGCAAGTCGGACACCCTTTTTGAACACAGGCACAACTCGCGCCATTAACTAATCACTTGGCAGAGTGCCCGAGGAAAAGGAAACACGAAAAATGACTGTTAGAAAACGTGCCAGCATTTCAGCATACCGATGCAAAAGTACGTTGGGAATCTTACCAGGACTACAAGCTGTTTTTGCTTTTAAATTTAACAACATCGAAAATACTCCCCCGTAAGATATAAAATCGGCGTGCATGAAGGACGGCGCGCTTTCGTCACGGTTGATAACGTCATCATTGAAAAAAAACGACTTAAAGTAGACGTTGAAGCGCTGCACAATTTCACTCTGGTCAGCAACTAATGCGTCCTTAACCTTGATTTGATCGATCGGCTTTTTCTTGCCACGGAAATAATTCCAATATTTCTGTGCATCATTGGTTATGAAGCTTGTTAGTGTATTGGAAAAGTAAAATTCCTTGGCGTGTTGAACTTGGGTGGAAAGTTCGTTGATCAATTCTTGAATCAACACTTGATTGCTGTTTCTTTTTCTTTAGTCGCTCAATTCTACGCTTAAGACAAATAACTCTCCGATTAGTCCAAAGATGTGTTTTACCAATGCGCTTGCGCTTGGTTGGAACAAAGTTATCCAGGCAATAAGTTCACATTGACTTAAACTTGTTCCAATCGACATTTACATCAAAATCTTCAAAGTCATTCGAACAAAGCTCTAAATAATCTAGAACACTTTCATCATTAGCACGCGAAAACTTTTAACACTGATAAAAGTACATTTATTTTTTTCTGACTGTTTCATTAGAGAGCAACTAAAAGAAACAACTTTATGATCAGACAGACCTTGTTCAACTGTTGCCTCGTAGTCACTTATGCAACGACTAATAAATACAAGGTCTAAAATTGAGCTACTGGAACGTTGCTCACGTGTCACATTTTTCACAACTTAAACTAAGTCATAGGCAAATATAATATCAAAAACAAGCTCAAAATTTGGGCAGTGTTTAGAAAATAAGTGTGACGAGCCAATATTTGGGAGATTGAAATCACCAACCACGAGAAACTTAGAGTTAAGATAAGCTGACATGCTGTTGTATAGTTTACACAAAAAATCAAGGGGCGAATTGCGAGGCCTGAACACAGCGTATAAAATAACAGTGTTTCCCCAACAGTTCAGTTTCAAACGTGAACTCTCGTGATCATCTATTTGGTTCAAAAGCACTGCATCAATGCCATTCTTAGGTATAACAGCGACACCACCCCCACGA